TTCTGGCCCCGTATAGGATTTCCAAGGAACAGCTGGTGGGTTTGAACCACCAGCTTTGTGGTTAGCAGTTCAGTGCTGATCCTATAGCATCACACCAGGACTCCACTGATTATAGGAAAGACCATTAAATGGGAGAAGCATGACATGTGAATTACAACTCAAAAGAGTCGTTACAAAAGAAACAAATGTAACAAAAACTATAAAAAGAAACAGACAAAACCAAGATTAAATCTGGAGATAAACTGTTGTTGTTGTTGTCAGGTGCCATGGAGTTGGAACCGACTCACAGCCACCCCATGCACAGCAGAACGAAACAATGTCCGATCCTGGGCCAACCTCACTACCGCTGCCACACTTGAGTCCATCAATGATGCCACCTGGCCAATCCATCTCGTTAGGGGTCTTCCCCTTTTTCTCTGACCCTCCACCTTACCTAGCATGACATCCTTCTCCAGCGACTGTTCGCTCTGGACAATATGTCCAAAGTATGAGAGACGAAGCTTAGCCATCTTGGCCTCCAAGGAGCACTCTGGCTACACTTCTTCTAAAACAGATCTATTGGTTCTTTTGGCAGTCCATGGCACTTTTAGTATTATCCTCCAACACAACTCAAAGGCATTAATTCTTCTATGATCTTCCTTATTCACTGTCCAGCTTTCACATCCATATGAGGCTATTGAAAATACCATGGCTTGGGTCAGGCGCACCTTAGTCCTCAAGCTGACATCTCTGCTCTTCAATACTTTAAAAAGTTCCTGTGCAGCAGATTTGCCCAATGCAATACGTCTTGACTACTGCTTCCGCGAGTGTTGATAGTTGATCCAAGAAGAATGAAGTCCTTGACAACTTCAATCTTTTCTCCGTTGTTAAGAATGTTGTTTATTTGTCCAGTGGTGAGAATTTTTGTTTTCCTGACATTGAGATGCAACCCATATCGAAGGCTGTGCTCTTTGATCTTCATAAGTAAATGTTTCAAGTCCTCCTCACTTTCAGCAAGCAAAGTTGTATCATCGGCATATCGCAGGTTGTTAATGAGTCTTCCTCCAATCCTGACGCCACGTTTTTCTTCATAGAACCCAGCTTCTCATATTATTTGCTCAGCATACAGGTTGAATAAGTATGGTGAAAGAACACAACCTTGTCGCACACATTTTCCCAATTTTAAAACATTCAGTGTTCCCATGCTCTGTTTGAACAATTGCTTCTTGGTCTAGGTACAGATTTCTCAGAAGTACAATGAAGTGTTCTGGAATACTCATACTTCTCAATCACTAAGGATATACTACCAGTGAAATTGATCTAACTTATGAGTTGTACAAGTGATTTTGTACTCAGCTACTAACAGAAAAGTTGGCTATTTGAATCCATCCAGTGGCATCTAAGAATGTCTGCCAGTTTTTTATTAAACAAACATTTGTTTGGCACCTAAGGTAGTCCTGTGAAAGGAGAGGACACAATCTCTATCCTCAAGATGTATAAAGTAGAGGAGAGAGAACATCTATCAACAATTTAAAAGGTCTTAAGAATGTACTTGACAGCAATGGGTTTAGTTTTGGGTTTTAAGAGATCTAGGTGGCCTGGTGGCATAATAGGTAACATGCTGCCCTGCTAACTGAAAGACTGGTGGTTCGATGCCACTAGCTACTCCACAGGAGAGCTCTACACTATCCTGTATGGTTGCTAAAAGTTGGAATTGATTAAACAACAATGGGTTTTAAGAGAAGATTAAAAAATGGCTAAAGCGGGTTTGGAGGCAAAAACATTTGTCTACTAAAGAAATTACAAATATATATAGCAGACTTATTAAATACTAGTGTGGTGCTGTGGGTTAATGAACCGTTTGAACTGCAAGGTTGGCGGTTCAAGCTCATCAGCTGCTCCTTGGAAACCCTATACAGGGTTGCTATGGGTCGGAACCAACTAGTCAGTACTTAACAACAACAACAACATAAATATGGAATCCTGGTGTATCCTTGAGTTAAGGTGCTAAACTGCAAAGTCAGTCTGAACCACAAGGTCAGAGGTTCAATCTCACCAGCCACTCTTGCAAACCCTACACAGGGTTGCTATAGGTCGGAACTGACTCAAAGGCACTTAAGAACAAACAACAAATAGATAAATGTGGGAGTCCAGGTGTGGCACTGCAGGATAATGCACTGGACTACAAGGTCAGTTTGAATCGCAAGGTAGCAGTTCAAGCTCACTAGCTACTCAGAAACCCTATAAAAGGTCGCTATGGGTCAGAACTGACTCGATGGCACTTAACAAAAACAATATATAAATCAGAGTCCTTTATACAAACCATCTAGAAAACAACTCTTTAATCTGAAACAGGAGTTTCTAGTGATTTCCAAAGATAAAACTGTCTTTATTCTTTGACAAAACTATAATGACAAACTAGATTATATGAAGAGCATAAAAAACTACACAAGATAAAAACATATTTAAGTACTATCATTAACTTAAAATGCAATTATATAAACTTCAATTATTTTTGTTGTTGTTGTGTGCTGTGGAGTCGTTTCCGACTCATAGCGAGCCTGCACAGGGTTTCCAAGGCTGTTAATCTTTATGGGAGCAGAACGCCTCCTCTTTCTCCCACGGAGCAGCTGGTAGTTTCGAACTGCTGACCTTGCGGTTCACAGCCCGATTTGTAACCACTATGAAATTATAAGCTATTAATATTACTTTAGTAAAGACTTCTTCAAATTAGTTTAGCGCTACTTGTATACTTGAAATTGCCAAAACTTCATTAAGAAGGAAGGCCAATTTACAATGGCCTTTTCACCACTGCGTAATAATTTATAATTTGTTAATTATATATATTAATTAATAAAATATTAATATAAGTGATCCCTGTTTAACAAAGGGGAAATCATGTATTAGCAGCACTAGAAAATAAAGTTTCCTTGTATGGAAAAGATACATTTTTCATAAAGCTTTACAAAATTATGCAACAATATTAGTATTTTATTTTTCAGAATCAGATTGTTTACTTTTACAAACTAAAGTTTCTTGAATGTTTTTTATCTAATTCAATTGCCTTAGTAAGCAAAATATATACCCCAATTCATGTTTCTTATCCAAACAAAGCTAAATCTGAAAAACAAACATCAAACTAAGTAAACCTATCTTACAGTATAAATAAAGTTTTGTTATATGAGTTTTTATCAACCCAATAAATCCAATAAATGGAAAGTTTCTTAATGACAGCTTAAGTAAATTCAAGAAAGTTTTTCATTTTTTAATATAAGGAGTTCTAGTGTGGTGCAGCAGGAGAGGAACTGAACTGCTATAACCAAAAGATCAGCAATTCAAACCCACCAGCCACTCCTTGGAAACCTACACAGGGTCTCTATGAGTCAGAATTGACTCAATGGCACACAACAATAATAAAATATGAAGATTAAAAGCACAACTGGAGACAATTAATATAGAAAGACAACCAAATCATGACAGACAAATACCAAAATCTTAGAAGTGAGAGGCAGAAGAGTAAAAAGAAAAAAGAGTAAGTCCGGAGGAAGACTGATCTGGAATTAACCTCAGCTTTGCCACTTAACTAACTCTTTGTCCTACTGTGGCACTGTAAGATAAGCATTGTACTACAACTACAAGGTTGGCGGTTCAACCCACCAGCCACTCCTCAAGAAACTCTATACAGCCTCACTATGAGTCATAACTAACTTAAGGGCACTGTAATAACTATATGTTTTGCTATTTGACAACTCTCAGTTATTATGTGTGATAAATACAAAGAAGCTTCAAAAACTCAGTGGAAAACTGGAATGAAAAGATGATTTTTGCATGGACTTTGAAGTCCCCTTTTGTGGGCCAAAAAATAATTGAGGAAATTAAATGAGGTAACATTTGTAAACTGGCCACAGCAAGCACCAGACGAACCCTAGATTTTACTTTCAGTTTGTATTAATTTTCACCTCTAATCACTTGTCATTGTTGTTTAGTGCTGTCGAGTCAGTTCTGACTCATGGTTGTTGGTGGTTAAGTGCTATACAGTTTTAACTCATATGGACCTTGTATAGGGTTTCCAAGGAATGGCTGGTGAGTTTAAGCCGCTGAGCTTGTGGTTTAAACTGACTTTGCAATCCAGTGCTTATCCTACAGCAGAGTGACCCTAAATAGGGTTTCCAAGGAGCAGCTGCTGGGCTTGAACCGCCAACCTTTCGGTTAGTGTCCAGAGCTTATTCTACAGTGCCACACCAGGACTCAGACAAACACAAAATAACTAAAACTAGATTCAAGCAATTTACAATTTCCTCTAGTACCCTATACAGGGTGGCTATGGGTCAGAATCAACTCGATGGCACTTAACAACAACAACAACTAGTACAATTACACAATTGTAATATGCAAATATAAGGTGTTGGGGGCGACTGGGCTGAAGGTCTCCGACTTGGAGGTAGTTTAACCAAAAGACTGTAACTGAACAGCTGTGGTCTAGAAATTCGGCTGCTCCCAAGTCAGGATGCCCCTGAGTAACTTGCAAAGCCTGCCTCAGGGAACAAGGAATTTGCGAAGTCTTTCCTTGTATGCAACCATGACCTTCTGCACAAACATCTAGGTGCTCTATCTCTGTTTCCCTAGCAACTACAAGTTACATTCTTCTGATAAGGTCTCCCTTGCTGCATGCATCAACAACACCAGATGTTTTTGCACTCTATTCCCTGCTCCCAGCACTTTGTTTTGATATGTGTATAAAATAAACTTTCTGCACTTGGTCTGCCTCACAGTATCTCCATCAGAGTGTTATGTCCCGCCTGGTCCCAACTTCACTTATGTCTTATGTCTCTTCCTTTTTTTTTCTAATCTTCCGTCACCCCTACTTAGGTTTAATCTATGCACAGGTTACGGAGAATAGCCCATGTAGGATGCAGCAATAAGGAAAAAAATTTCCACAGAAAATTATTAAGAAACTTTAAGAAAAACTTTCAGAAGCCAAAAAAATCTTTCATTAAAATAGAAGCAGTTAATATATATACCACTCTCCACAGTGAACAGCCTTCAGCACTCCCACAGCGGCTGTAGTCTGTCGTTCAAAACCTTGTCCTATGTGATCTGCATGGGCTCTTGTCCTGTCTTCAAAGAGCATCTCACGGGGTTCACTGGTTCGAGGTAGGTACTGCAGGTTTTTAATTTCATTGGTAGTTCTGTTTGTTTGTTTAAAAAAAAAAAAAAAAAATTTTTTTTTTTTTTTTTTGCTATATACACTCACCAAGTAAATTAGCACTAAGTACCATATGTATTCAGTTTTAACTGCAGACATTTAGTCACCATATAATTCAGACCAAAGGAAATTTTAACTCATTGCTTCCAAATCAAGTTCTATTTTTTAAATGATCAAATATAAATAAGAACAAATATACACATAGAATCCCCTTTATTCAAGGCGCTCGTCACAAAATGGCAGCTGTGAAGAAATACATGCTTGGATAAACTACAGAGCTGTGGTTTACCCAGTTTACCTAGCCCTGAGTCTTTACCTGGGGTTTGGGTCTAATGTGTGAGCCATAACCCTACTCAGATCCTATGGTTAACACAGGTTATTTAGATGAAACAAACAGGTAACTTTTTAATCCAATATTTATATATCACTTATTACATTCTAAACACTAGCTTGGCATTCCACTTCTCTGTCAGATTGTTGTAGCTTGCATGTTATTCCTGTGATCTCGGACATTATGTGTTATTTCAAATGCCAGTAGGGTCACCCATGGTGAACAGGTTTAAGTGTAGATTGCAGAGTAAGACGGACTAAGAAGAAAGATTCAATGAAAACCTTATGAATAGCATTCTGACATAGTGTCAGAAGATGAGTCCCTCAGTTTGGAAAGGACTCAAAATACAACTGGGAAGAGCTGCCTCCTCAAAATACATACAACCATAATGATATGTATGGAGCAAAGCTTCTACTGATGTGGCAGGACTCTAAATGAGAAGCTGCTGCTACAAACATTCATTAATAATTAGAATGTGGACTATACAAACTATGAATCTAGATAACCTGACGTCATAAAATGACTTCATGACTACATGAATGAAACACATGAAGATTGATATCCAGGACATTAATGAAATGGACTGGTAGTTGCTATTCCAAATCAGACAATCATATGGTCTACTATGTCGGGAATAGCAAACTAAGAGAAATGGCATCATATTGATCATCAAAAGGAACATTTCAAGATTCTTCCTGAACTACAATACTCTCATTGATAGGACAGTATCCATACCCTTGAAGGAAAAACCAGTTAATACAGGTTTTATTCAAATTTATGTACCAACCACTAATGTCTAAGATAAAGAAACTGAAGATAGATCTTTGCTGAAAGCAGTGAATACCAGAAAGAGGTTTACTTGTGTTTTATTGACTATACAAAGGCATTTGACTATGTGGATCAAAACAAACTATGGAGAACACTACAAAGAACGGTAGTCCCAGAACACTTCATTGTGCTTATGTGGAACCAGTCGTTTGAACAGAAGAGAATATTGAGTGTTTTTAATCTGGAAAGGTGTGTGTCAGTCAAGGTTCTATTCTTTCATCATACTCATTCACTCTGTATTCTGAGAAACCAGACTATATAAAGACTAAATAAAGAACCTGGCATCAAGAGAGGAAGGTTCCTTAACAACCTGCAATATGCAGATGACACAACCTTGCATGACAAAGGGAAGAAGAGTCAGAGCACTTACTAATGAAGATCAAAACCCAAAGCCTTCAGTATAGATAACATGTCAATGTAAAAGAAAACAAAAATCCTTACAACTGGACCAATAAACATCATGATAAATGGGGAAAGGCTGAAACTATCAAGGATTTCATTGTACTTGTATCCACAATCATCATCCACGGAAACAGCAGTCAAGAAATCAAATGACATAGTGCACTGTGTAAATTTTTACAAAAAAATCTCTAGAGTGTTACACAACAAAGGTATCGCTTTGAGGACAAAGGTACACCTGACCCAAGTCACGATGTTTTCAATCACCTCATATACATGAACACCTAATACGGAAGACTGGAGAGGAATTGATGCATTTGAATTGTGGTGTTGCCAAAGAATATTGAAAGTATCATGGACTGCCAGAAGAAAACCAAATCTGTCTTGGAATAAGTACAGCCAGAATGCTCCTTAGAAGGGAGGATGGTTAAGACTTCACACCTCACCTACTTTGGACCTGTAGCAGGACATTATGCTTGGTAAAGTGGGCAGTGAAAAGAGGAGGGTCCTCAATGACATGGATTGACACAGTGGCTGCAGCAACGGGATCACAAGTAGTGAGGATTGTACAGGATAAGTCAGTGTTTTGGTGTGCTTTATACAATACTGCTATGAGTTGGGACCAGAGTCCTGGTGTGGCACTGTGGGTTAATGTGCTGGACTGCAATGTCAGATTGAACCACAAGGTTGATGGTTCAAACTCAACAGCCGCTACTTGGAAACCCTATACAGAGTCACTGGGTTGGAACTGACTCAACAGCACTTCTAAAAATCAGCCACTGAAAACCTTATGAATCACAGTTCTACTATGACACACATGGCACTCCCCCAAGTCAAAAATGACGAGATGGCAATGGTTTTAGTATCATTGCTTTGAATTTTGTTATTGGTGCCTTTTCTCACACTGACTGTTGTTGTTAAGTGCTGTTAAGTCAGTTCCAACTCATAGTGACCCTGTATAGGGCTTCTAAGGAACAGGTGGTTGGTTTGAATCACCAACTTTACTATTAACAGTCAATGCTTACCCTCTAGTGCCCACCAAAATGCCACACAAACAGTGTAGCATCATTACATTTTTTGTCTTAGGGCAGGATTAAAAGTTTTATCCTAATATTTTTGCTTTATTATGTTTAAAATTCTAACTTCTTATATTAGGTAGGGTTCTGGCTTTGTCAAACAGACTACTAGTTTTCCCAGCATTAATCAATAGACATTTCTTCCTTTAATCCCCATTTCATAAATTAAGTTCCCAACACACTTAGATCTATTTCCAGATGTTAGCCTAGTTCAATAATCATTTGTAATTCATAGTAAATTTTAATATCTATTAGCAAAAACTCACTTATATCCAGAACATATTATGGCTACCCATTTCTTTAAATCTTATTTTATATCCTCCATGTTTTTTGTTTTTAAAGACAGGCAGTCCCAGTTTACAAATGAGATCCATTCTTAACTGTGTTTTTAAGATTTTGGGGGAAAGGAGGACCAGGTGCATAAGGTTCTTACTTAGCCTTACTTTATTGGAAGCCCTAGGTATACAGATGGTTAAGCACTAGGGTGTGTGATAATTAAGGTTTTGTATAATTTGACTGAGCCAGGATTCTGTTTTACCAGGTAAGATGTAGTAATATCCCATGATAAGACCTGTTAAGAGCAGCCAATCAATTGAAAGGAACTTTCCTCGGGGGTGTGGGCTACATCCAATATATTGGGCACTTGGAAAAAGATTTCTTGCTTTTCTGCTGTGAATGGATTCTGCATATGGCTTGTCATCCAACCTCAGGTTCTTTGGACTTGAGCCAGTGGCCTGCTCTATTGTTTACAGATCCTAGGAGTTGTCACCAGCAAGCCATCTTAACCTGCAAGACATCCTTGCCTGCCATCTGACCTGATCTCCTGCTGATCCTAGCATATATCAGCAGCGACCTGCCTGCCTGTGGTCTGAGTCAGGAGCCTCCAGGCTGACATCCGATCAATGGACTCTAGAACTTTGAGAGCCATTTCCTTGATATAAACCTCTCTTTATAGATTGTTTTGATCGCACCATCGTATTTGGTAGTTTTGCTGGATAGACGATTCTTGGTTGACAGTTTTTTTCTTGCAGGGTTTTGTATACGTCTCCCCATTGCCTTCTAGCTTGCATGGTTTATTCTGAATAGTCAGAGCTTAATCTAATTTGCTTGCCTTTATAAGTTATATTTCTCTTGTCCCTGTCTACTTTTAGTATTCTTTCCTTGTCTTTGATTTTGGAAAGCTTGATTATTATATGTCTTAGAGACTTTCTTTTGGGGTCTGTCCTTCCTGGGGTACGTTGGGCTTCTTGAATGTTTATCTTCTCATCTTTCAAGATGTTAGGGAAATTTTCTTCCAGAAGCTCTTCAACTATCTCCTCTGTGGACTTCTTTGATTCTTCTTGTTCCGGAATGCTAATAATTCTTACATTATTCCTCTTCATGTTATCCAGCATGAATCTTGGACTCTCTTCAGATTGTTTTATCCTTTTAGATGCTTGCTCTTTTATCTTGGCAATATTTAGAGATTTGTCTTCCATTTCGCTAGTTCTGGCTTCCATCTCTTCTAGTCTGCTCTTTTTCCCTTTCAGCCTATTGTCCATTTCCGATATCTTAATCACTTGGACATCTTTTTGCAGGTTTTGAATTGTTTCCAGTGCCGTGTCAATCCTATTTGATTGTTCCTGGAGTACTTTCCTTACTTCTTCCTTATTTTCCTCGACCCATTTTTGGAGTATTTGAATTTGTTTCCATATCATTCTTCTGAATTCCCTCTCAGGCATATCCAGAACCCGCTCGTCCTCCTCTATAAGGCCTTTGTCTGTCTCCAGCTCATCTGCATCAGCTGCTCTCTTCTGCTTTTGGATGTGTTTCGATAATGTTGATTGTTTCTTATTGGTCATGGTTATTATTATTTCATTATAATTATTATTAATATGATCAACATATAGGCTTCCCTTATTGTCTGTAATGCACAGCAGGTGTTGTTAGGTCTTATCTAAGTGGTGGAGTATTATGGTGTATGCTTATAGCTTGGCTACATGGCCACGATTGCTGCTGCTTCTTAGGTGAGGTAGGGAGGAAAAGCTCCCACCTCCAGGAAAGATGTGTGATCAAAAGGACCAAAAGCAGAAGTAATATAAATGCATAGGCAGAAATCACCACTTTGGAGCAGAGATGAGGCTTTGGTCAACTCTTCCGTGCTTATATCAGCAGTGTGTGTACACATAGAAGCCTCCAGTAGGGGTGGGGGTGACCACTCTTTCAGGTCTCTCCTCTAGCCACTGCCATATAAGTGGGCAGATATATATATCGGGGAGTTAATGGGAGAAAGACTGACCGCTGTTTTTGCCTTTGATCGTAAGTTATCTGCCTGTGCTCTGCGCCGATCTTGGGATGGTTGAGACCTGTTCTGTTGGGGTTTTATAGATTGCCTTGAGTATGTCCTGCCCAGTGAATTCAGGCAGCCGCCCAGCCACGGGTTGCCAAATTGATGGCTGGGGATTTTAGCTGGAAGATCCACACTGCTACCTGAGCAGGGTGGCTTCCGATTTGTGGCGGCCAGGTGACATAAAAAAGTCGCTGTCTCTCTCCCTCTTTCTGTGCTGTAGGTAAGCTGTCTTGTCTGATGTCTGTGCTGAGATCTTAAGTTGGGGCACAGAGATTCTGAGGGGTTGGTTTATGTCGCTTCTTGCAGTTTTGTCCGTTTAGGGTTTTTTTTTTTTTTTTTTTTGCTGGAAACGTTGCTTTCTGAACAGGCTGGCTTCAGCCCCACTCTCCAAGCTTTTCAGGGGCGGGGTGGTAGCCGGGGCTCCCGCTGGACCATGGGCAAGAGTTTTTAAGATGATAGCTGTTCCTCAGTATTGTGATTTTTCAAAAATGCGAGTTCAGGAGATTGAAGCACTAGGTCTTATGATAGTTCGAAGGCTGTAGGTTTGCTATATGAAAGTTTCCTTCATGAGATCCCCCTCCCTTCTCACCAGAGCTCTTCCTACCTGACTGCTGTCTGCAGCCTGGTTCTTTATAGATTGTTAAGTGCTGTTGAGTCAGTTCAGACACAAAGCAAAGCTGTATAGGGTTTCCTAGGAGCAGGTGGTGAGTTTGAAACACCGACCTTGCAGTTCAAACCGACTTTGCAATCTAGCTCATTAACCAACAGTGCCACACCAAAATGCTTCTTTATATATACATATATAAATTTCACTGATTTTGCTTTTCTAAGACAAGGTACTAAAAGATCAGCAATTTGAACCCACCAGCAGCTCTGCAGGAGAAATACGAAGCTGTCTGATTCCATAAAGACATATAGCCTTGGAAACTCTATTGGCAGTTTTACGCTGTCTTATAGGGTCCTGGTGTGGTGTAGGATAAAAAAAAAAACAAAACTGCAAAGTCAGCAGTTCAAACCCGCAGCTGCTCCTGGGAAACTATACAGGGTCACTGAGCTGGAACTGATTCCACAGCACACAATAACAAACACTATGAATAAGATGGACTTGACAGCAGTGAAGGTGACTGTAATGAAGAATTTGCTGTGAGTAGGGGTTGGTTCAACTGTTTCAAGGTGAGGACAAAATTACAAAACATAAAAGGGCAAGTAGAAGCTTTCCTTAAGTAGGACATTCATAACCCGGGAATGCCTGTACAGATTCCAAATACCGTTAAATTTATTCTTATATAGTTTATAATTTGTCACTGTTGTGAATATTTTTCCACCCCTAACTACAATTTTGAGTCCTGTTAGGGCACTGCACGTTAATGTCCTGGACTACAAGGTTGACGGTTCAAGCTCACCCTATGCTTCTTGGAAACCCTGTGCAGGGACGCTAGAAGTCAGGACCGACTCGATGGCAATTAACAACAACTACTACAACTTATTATTTTTCTATATTTCTAATGTTTTATTCATAGTTGCAGTTTTATACAAAATTTTACCTGCATATATAGCCACCTTTGAATTTTCATTCCAATTATGCTCTGTTGTTTTTAAGTGCTGTAGAGTTGGTTCCAAATCACAGTGACCCTGTATTTCTAAGTAGCAGCTGGTAAGTTTGCATTGCTGACCTTGTGATTCAAACAAACCTTATAGTACAGTGCTTATCATATAGCGTCACACCAGGACTCCAATTGTATGCTAAACTTTCTTTATTCCTCCAATTTTCAACACATACACAGGTACTAATATAAAAGCACCCATTCCCAGTGTGCTGCAGTAAACTATCTAATAGCTCTTCTAGCTGGAGTAGGTAACTCCTACCAAAGTCTGCCTTTGGATCTGGGTAAGAGAAAGTGAGTGAAGACACTGACTGACAGGTTAACATGATTCAGCTGTGGATGTTAACAGAGTTTATTCTAACTGTAAAACTTAGAACTCTAGCACAGGTATAAAATGAAGCATCTCAAAAGAGAGAGAGAGTGAGAGTGAGTTTGAGTGTATGTGTGTGTGCTATATGTGTGTGGGGGGGGGGGGGGCGGGGGCGATATCTTACAACCATCAAAGAAGAGCCAGGAATGGAGAAGGTCTTTTAGATCCACAAAACAGAGAGTGAGTGTCCCAGCTCACAGAACAAGTAACGCTAAATGTCTTTGGGCATGAGGTTTATTTGTTGAGTGGGGTGCCTCTAGACACTAAGTGGGGGAGCTAGGTTTGCTGAGAGCTGGATGTTTTCAGGTTGAGGCTTATGCTTATGACAAAGTGTTATGTCTTGTGGACATGCATCAGCAATTGACTGGAACAATTGTGCCCTGAGCATTTTCTGATCCTGTATTGTAACCTGTTAAGTCCCCTAATAAACCCCATAACTGTGAGTATGGTATCTGAGTTCTGTGTGGCCACAGCAACAAATTATTGAACTTAGCTGAATAGAGGGGGCTGTGGGAAGATGGTTTGGTGTCACTTATTTTTGTACCAAAGTAATAAAAATTTGTATGCAGCGTACCTTTTCCTTTTGAAAGGTGACTTTGGCATATCAGCCACAGGGATCATTTGTTCTCCTGGCCGTACCCACATAATGGGACCATCATCACTGTCTTTTCGATTCTCCAATTTCAAGCTAGATAGTGTCCCCCATGGCAGTGTACACTAGAAATAAACAATTACATAGACATCAATTATTTTCTAAATCTATCTTTAAACACATTCAAGAATATTATCCCCTCACACATGCTCATATATGCCTTTGCTGTTATATATTTGAAATATTTACATCAAATACACATATATATTCACATATTTTCCTTTAGATATTTCTATTTCTAACATACCTAGAGAATAACTACACTTGGATGTTTCCTGACTCCTGCCCATTTCCTAACTTCTACTAGTTGAATGGTTGTGGTGTAGTTAATTGCTTTATATTGTCTTTCTAATCATAGTCCTCCATTTTATGATACACTATCAATTATATTTTCTATGCCTATGGTTACCATCCCATTTTGGAGTTGTCTGTTATGTTAAGGTAGTAAATTTCTTAAGTCCCTGCCTTACTAGAGGGTGAAACAAAGTTACTATCCTTAGTTTCTTGGGAGGGAGGGGTAACCTGCAAATTACCCAGCATCTTTGAGATCTGTGTTAAAACAAGAAGTAACTTTCTGTTTTAAGATGTTACCTATTAGTCAAACCACCCACTTCCTGATTAATTAAGAAAAGCAGATAGCCAGGGTTGCAAAACTGGTCTAGGCGCTTTGAGGTAATGACCAATGTGTCCTCTACCTGTTCTTTGGATGTCATGAGGCTGAAAACAAACTTCCACCAACCCCCTGGACACTGGCAAAACTTTGTGACTCCCTTTCTAATTAAAGATAAGCAGAAGACTAGCTCTTATGCTCAACAATCCTGAAAAATGAACACCAATGTGGCACCAGTTACGGTCTTAAAAGACCCTGAACTAGGACTTGCGGAATCATCCTGGTGATGTGAGCCTTGGAGCACTCCTTTGCTTGGCCAACAAAGTGACACCTACTTCTTTCATTTTCAGCCTGTTTATGTCTCTGTAGGTGTGTTGAGCAATACTCTGGCAAGGTTTGCTCTCTTACTCTGGGTTCCATTTCTGTCTGACCACTGGTTCTTGAGATTTGAATCATGTTGCCTGTCACCTGATCTTCCAATTTAACATTAGTAAGAATTCTCCAGATTGATATGTGAACTACAAATTTAGAACTTGCCAACCTCCACAGCCATTCATTGATGGTTTTTGAGTTCTGAGAGATGTTGCAGCGAACTGCAGAACACTGAGGAGGAGACTACTGAGAGAGGTGTGATGACTGACATCAGAGACGATGGAATGATATGAGCATTTTAGAAAAGTTTGGACATTTGGGACATCCTTGACCTCCACACCTCATTCTTCTACAAGAAATTATTCATGCAATGGAATCACTTGATTCATTGTTTGTTATTCTTCCTTCTACCAAATATATGATCTTACGAAGTTAATAAACTGACAAAACAAGCAAGCAGTTCCCATAAGAAACTATAAAAATAAACAAATACGTGTTTAAAAGCAAAAAAAAAAAAAAACACATCTGAGAATCACTGACATATAATCATAAAAATGGTATTAAATACATCCTGCATACCTTGGAAAAACAGCAGAATTGTCAAAATAAATTTTTGTAGCAAGAACACTTACCTCATTTGCATTTAGAATGAAAAACTGAAAACATTACTATTTATAATAGGAAGAAAAATTTTGAAGGAATGAAAACAAAAATGGACAGAAAAGAAAAAAAAGATACACATATTGGTGAATAATCACGCAAACAAAAGTGAATAAAGAAGATCAACAGATTATACTATCAATATCAGAAATCAACTGACCTTGTCACATTTTGCTGCTTACTTGGATGCTAATAAATTTCAGTATAGATTTACGGTGAACTTTATACTACTGATTAAACAATGAATCTAATTATATAGCTCAGAAGTTTCTCTCTTACTGAAACAGTCCCAGCAGTCCAAGAGGAAACAATTTCTTTAAGGCAAAGACTGTTGTTGCAAAACAAAGCAAGACAAAAAACAAACAATTCTGGCTATACCTTACTGAATGCATCTTAGATTCTGGAAGGGTCTTAAAACTACCAAGGCTATGTGCCTTATTTTGGGGCGGTGAAGAAACTGAGACACAGAAAAAGTAAAGTTTGCCTATATAGCTAGATAAAGCCATGACTGATATACAGATGTACAATTCCCCAGGCTAATTTTCCTTCCTGTATTTCTTAAATTCCTTGGTACCGAGTTTATAAAGATCTAATAAACAGATGAAGCTAAATTACATAAAGTGGCAGTAACAGTCCTTTCCTTATCATTAGAACTTGAAAGGTTACAAGCATACACTATACAAGAATGACTTGCTTTCCCATCCCTTCCTTTCCTTCTCAATTCAAATGAAATCAAAACATGTTCAGATCCTGAAATAGCCATCATGCCTATCACCTGTAACATGCAAGTAAAATCTACAATTTTAACTGCTGATAGCTTTCCCTTACTTTTAAAAAGGGTGAATCTTGCAACATGTCAAGGAACTCAGGGAAGTAATCTCCCACTTCTTCATCAACTGCTCCCACCAAGCTGATCTGTCTCATTGGGCCAGCTCTGTAAGTACCATGAGAATATGTTCTTTTTACCTAAAATATAAAGATTTAGTTGAAAGTTACACATTAAAAAAAAAATCATTGTATAGCACTCAATTATATTGCTTCAGAATATTAGCATATAATGTGAGGCAAGCACACAAAACGAAAGAAACCTTTATTAACTAACAATCACGTTAAAACATTACACAAGTTTGCATTAAGGAAATCATCTTATTTTCTCTATTTATTCCTATACTGCTTTTTAAAATGTCGATAAACAGCATATTTAAAGACAACTAAATATAACATCTAGAATACAAAAGGGGTTCAAAAAGTTCATGGAAAAACAGAATTAAAAGTTTCAAAAAATTCCAGGAATTTTTGGACGACCTATAATACAAGTTACATTATCTGAACTATAATCTGATTAAATTTTTTTTAAAAAGTTGTTATATTTGAATTTTTCTAAAGCAATAGTTTATATCTTTTCATCATATTTTTTCAAAGTAAATCTTCTGAAAGATGTTTAATCAACACCCTAACAATGGTTTGTGTGCGTAAAAAGCGAACAGGATGAACTTCCCTTCTAGATCTTTTTGTTGTTAGGTTCTGACCTGTATAGGGTTTCTGAGGAGCACCTGGTGAGTCTGAACTGTCAACCTTGTGTTTAGCAGTCCAGAAGGGCTTGGTTTATATTGTTATGATTAACAAGTAGACAGAGTCCTGGTAGGATAAGCACTGGACCACAACGTCGTTTAAATCACAAGATCGGTGGTTCAGAACTCACCTGGCTCCTCCTTGGAAACCATATACAGGGTTGCTCTGAGTCAGAACTGACTTGATAGCACTTAACAACAACACAACAAATAGACAGAGAATCAGTAACCTTAAGTCCCAAATCTACCTTTACTACCTACCACCTATCAGCCCTTCAAAAATCACTTAAACATCTTGAGCTTTAGAGTTTTCTTAATGCAGATGCCTTTACCTCAGATTGCTGAAGAAAATGTTAATAACTACATGAAGCCACTTGCTACAGTATGAACAAGTGGCATCTAAGTGTCAGTCAAAATAAAGCAGCCCATTTCCCAAGAGTCCTACCTGGACTTTCATAATACATTTAAATCCTAACAAATAAAGCTGTTATTTTCTTATACTAACAGTTGTAACAAGTGTCTTGTTTTAAGCAAAACAACCTCCTTTCATAAACTTCAAGCAACAGTCTAATAATCTTTTACAGTGGATTAGCCTTTGCAGCTATTTAAACATGATTTTTTTTCTCCCTCTCCTATGTCTATTTTGGATTAAGAAGAGGCTGGGTCTTTTGATGATTTATTTCTAAGAGTAGGTCCATTAAAATTTATAAATATTTCAAAGGATGTTGTGAAGATCATAACTTTAACGAGTAAAGCAATATGTTGTTGTTAAGTACTGTTGAGTAGGTTACGACCCATACTGACCCCGTATAGGGTTTTGGAGGAGCATCTATCTGGAGAGCTTGAATGGCCAATCTTGCGGTTCAAACCGACTTTGCAATTGAACACATTAACCCAAATTTAAGAAGCCCAGTGGCTAAGTGGACTGCTAACTACAAGGTCAGCAGTTCAAACTCACCAAGCACTTTGCAGGAGAAAGATGAGATGTTCTGCTTCCATAAAGACTTACAGACTTGGAAATCCTATACAGGGTCACTATAAGTCAGAATTGCCAAGATGGTAGTAGGTTTGTTTTTGATTTGGTTTATTTAAATTTAGGGAGACCTAGATTGTTCGTGTCCTAGATTGCCTTATTTATACAGCAAATCCTGTACCCCAGGCAAACCAGGGTGGCTAATTTTTTCACAATGAATACAGACTTTAGGATATATTCATATCACAAGTCAAATCCCCACAATAGAAACTGGTGGTGTCCGTGGGTGACACAAATAGTAAGCTCTAGACTACTGACCGGATTCTGGTGTGGCATTGTGGATCAGCACTGAACTGCGAAATGGACAAGGTCATCAGTTCAAACCCACAGCTGCTCCTTGGAAACCCCATACAGGGTTGCTATTAGTCGGAATCGACTAAACAGCACTCAACAACAGACCACTAAGCTAAAGGCTGGCAGTTTGAACCTCCTCAGATGAAGACTCTTGGGAAGAAAGGCCTGGTGATCTGCTTCCCGAGGTCACAGTCTTGAAAACGCTATGGAGTATACTTTTACTCTACACATGGGGTCACCTTGAGCCAGAATCGACTTGACTATAAAACATTTTTTGCTTTTTTTATAGTATCATCATGTAACAACAGACCCATACCCAACCCATTTATTCTCAGAAACACAACAATAAAAATTCTAAGGTACAACAGAGTAATTTGACTAAGACATTAGAGATATTTTATTTTTATTTTCTCATATGATAAAAAACCCAAACAAGTCAAGACGTTGATTCCCACTCATACAGACCCACGTGTTACAGAAAAAGAACTGTTTGTGACTGTAATCTTTACATAGGCTGATCTCACCAAGACTGTGCTCCACAGTGCCAATGGGTGGATCCAAACTGCCCGTCTTTAGGTCAGTAGCACTACCCAAGGACTGTAAAAGTATCATTAAGTAACAAATTATCTATGCCCAAGCTACATATTTCCAGAAACATGAAAATACAAATTCTGTTTAACACAACAGTATGACTTTATTCACTGCTATTAAATCAATTCTGATTCCTAGTGACCCTACAAGATGGAACATAACTGCTTCATCGGGTTTCTGAGGATGTCAATCTTTATACCAGCTGACTGCCTCATCTTTCTCTCTGTGGAACATCTGGTGGGTTTAAACTGCTAATCTTTTGGATAGCAGCTCAACACTTAACCAACTTCTTCACCAAGATATTAAGAGAATATTGTTTTTTATTTTTTTATTATAATTACCAGCAACCCAAAGCCAAACCCATTGTCATAATGTCAATTTCAGCTCATAGCAACCCTTCAGACCCTATAGGGCAGACTATAACTGCCCCATAAATTTCCAAATACTTATCTTTACAGAAACATTTTATCACATCTTTCTCTTATGGAATGGCTAGTAGGTTTGAACCATCAACCTTTTGGTTAGCAGCAGAGTGCTTTAACCACTGCAACTGGCAGGGATTGCTTACAGTTAGCAAAACTGTTTAATGATACATTAATCCTTTGATGTGTTAATTTACCAAAATGTTAAGCTTACATTTTCATGACCTGTCATAAACTCACTCCTTAGAACTATAAGACACTTCCCCAAGCCCCAAATTATATCACATGCTCTTGATGAGTTTAAAGGCACTAACAACCCACAACAAGACAACCAGTTATCACTACACTTTCTGTTATGAGGACTAACAAAGGTATCTAATCATTCTAAAGCTAATGACTGAGCTTGTGATCTCAATTTTGCATCTGTACATAGTCATCTGAGCTCTGAGACTCCATGGCCATTAAAATCATAACAGATTTTATTCAATGAATTAAAGTGAAGTAAAACAACATACATGGAAAAAACACATTTCAAAGTGCTTCGAAAAAGTCAAATCAGGACAGATTCTTTCTACTTCATACAAATAATGGAAATTTTCTATGCCTCAATCATTTTCTTATTGAAATCAGTTGTGTATGTGAATCACTAACCAGTTCTAGCAAAGTCAGAATCAAATCAGTCCTTGCCATGTGGCTCAGTCCACTCACTCTACTACATTGCAGGGTCAATAAAACCCAGGAAATCATTTGGCAGTTCACCAAGGAAGAATTTTCAGTGAGTGAATTCTTATGAAAAAAACTATGAACAACTCAATTTGTGATCTCTTTCATGAAAATGGGTTCTGTGAATATACTTTTAAATTTTAAAGCAAACATCAAATGGATTGGTGATTCACAGAACTTTCTTCCTAAGAAAGTATGTACAAGAATTAAATATACACGCATGCAAAAGACAAACCAAAAGAGAATTAAGGTGAATGTTAATAAAGACTTTTGGTCAGATAAAAATCTACTGTGAGAAAAGTATAACTCGGAAATTATAATAGCAGTCAGTTTTTCTAGTAGGTAAAATTACATCAATCTTTGTTGTGTTAAGTGCCATCAAGTCGGTTCCCGACTCAGAATGACCCTGTATTTAAATCTTCTGAAGAGCAGAAAGCCTCATCTTTCTTCCTTGGAGGAGCTGATGGGTTCAAACCATGGACCTCATAATTCGCAATCCAGTATATATTGTATGGAGCCACTACACTCCCAAAGTCAGACTATAGTACATATGAATGTATTTTTTTCTAATAACTCAAAGTTTTAAAAATTCAATTTGATGCAGCTTTTGCTACATGGTTCAGACAACTGCTTTCTGTTTACAAAAGAAATTACTGTAACAAATTAACTACAGAGAAGAGAATGGATAAATTTTAATAGTCAGAAAACCATAACTAACAGTTGTTGTTGTGTCGTTGAGTAAATGCCGACCCATAGTGACCCCTGTATAGGGTTTCCAAGTACTATAAATTTAACATCCAGTACTTTTAGCGCAAAGGAGCTCTGGTAGTGTAGTGGTTACGAATCTGGCTGCTAACCTCAAGGTTCGCAGTTTGAAACTACCAGAGGTTCCGCAGGAGAAAGATGAGGTTTTCTGCTCCCGTAAAGATTTACAGCCTCGAAAACTCTTTCAGGGTCCCTATGAGTCGGAACCGACTACATGGTAGTTAATAACAATCTTAGTGAAAACTTTATGTTTAAATATTGATTACAAACATGTATCACTGAGGAACTAAAGAACAAGAGACAGTATGCATTTTGACTTCTTAGAGTGGTTCTGTTAAAATTCACAAACATTTCAAAGGGTTTTAGGGAGAAACAAAATTAAGAATAAATTGAAGAATGAATGTAGACTCTACTCATTGAACTGTATTGTCTTTTTATTTTTTTGAACTATATTCTTAAATATCCTATTCAAATCCTCATATTTAGTCCTTTCCATCTAATGGCAAAGCTCATACAAAAAACAATTACAAGAAAAATTCACTTACATGAATAATTTGCTGTAAGTAC